ATTATGGGTTGTCATGGCTGGGGAATGGGCAGGTGGCCAAGAGGAAGTAAATTGTGGGGCACAAAACAAGCCCATGCCTTCCCACCAGACAAGTGGTCCTAGTTCTGCTAGCCACATACATCAGATTTCTTTCTGTGACTCCAGAGGAAGGAAGAAGATATGTAAGTCACTGGCCCAATGAAGAGAAGGATTCTTAGCACAATCCACTCCTTACAGGGTCACTTCAGCCAGGATGCAAAATGTCCCGAGGCCACACGTTGCTGCAAGATTATTTTGTCCTGACATCACATCAGAGGCCACTAACGTATTGTTACCGGTGTATATGTGCACCTCCACACCCAGAAAAGAGAGAGCCAATCAAAGTGAGGAGAGGGGGCAAGAGTACATTTTGAAAAACTAACTTCCCCTACTTTGGGAGGATCAGTTTGTTAGGCTGGTGCTGTTGTCTGGTGTTGGGCCCGTAGGATCATTTTGGATACTGTCAGTGACTTTCAGACCCAACATTTTAATATTTAAAAAAATGGTTCTGTGAAAACTAATGAATACAAATATCTTGATTAAAAAAAATTAAACAAGTTTTTCTTGAAATCTTCATTAACCTACTTTCATTTTCCTCTATATTTTAGCGTGCTCAGATGCTACCTATGTTAGGTCTCAGACATCCAGACTTAGCAGCGGTATGCAAGATGCATTCAATGAATTCGAAGGAATTAATTCACAAACAGACTTTACTTTGTCCCAGCACAATGAAGAGAACTCCTCTGATGAAGACCTATCAGATCTCTCAGGTTGCTTTCCTATCAGATTCCTGATTTTCTCCCCCTTTTATGTAATGATATAAATGTACACAGCACTTCACAAATGCTTATGACAAAACATTTTGGGTAAAACTTTTAAAAATGAGAGCATGAAGTTAGGCTCATAAATCCATGTTTACATACCTAAATAGGGGTCTAATCCAAATCCCAATGAAGTTGATGAGCATCTTACTACTCACTTCAATGGGCTTTGGATCAGGCCCTACATGGCACAAATTTCTGCCAGTGTTTGTTTTAATTGGGGCCACAAATTAAACCCCTATCCAGAAAAGTAATTAAGCGCTTGCTGAATGGTAATCATCAGGTCAGTACATAAAAAATCTAGAGCCTTTCTGGGAATTCTGAACTCAGAATATTCAGTTCTGTTCACGATTGTCTAAAATATGGTTCTGCTTTTTCTAAGGATGCCAGTGTACTGTAGTAATTATACTTAATAGTGAAATCCCCTAAAAGAAGGCATTAGAATATGAATGCAAGAATTCAGATACTGTATTTAATATGGCAGTTAGCCAACAAAATTCATTGCTGCATGACCAAATACAACTCAAGAGGATGGACCAAAATATTTTAAATCTCAGTTATCATGTCTTTCTAAAGAATTACATACATTACAGCTCCTGAGATCCCAGTCCAGCAAGCTCCATTTTAAGCATGTGAGTAAGTCTTTCCTTCAGTGTAGCAGATTTCTGACAGATTGTCCAGCTATAAGAGAGAAAGTGAGTGAGGCAATATCTCTTCTTAATCCAAAAAAAGATGGTACCTCACCTGCTTTTTCTCTGTAACGTTCTGGGACCAACACAACTACTGCAAGCAGCCTGCGAATAGGTTTTTTTAATGTATTTGAAATGGTTAATTTTGTTCCGATGTGTTATTTAGTATTGATATGATGATATGTGTGACAGATTTATAAAACATATACAGCTTGATTGTCTTATCTGTTTAGTATGCAGTTGGCTGCATTGCCTGCCATAGTGTGAGAATGAAATAGCTTCCAATGCCTAGAGTCTGCCTATCTCAGTATTTCTAGAGCCCACTTCATTATAAAGACATAACTACAGAGGTATACTTATTGGAAGAAATTCACCCCATTGCTGAGGGGCCATGCAAAGCCCTCTGCACCATGTTGAATCCCCATGTAAATTCTTAATGTAGGGATTAATGCATGTTGAATGCTCTAGTCTCTCAGCATTGAGGAGAATTTTATGTACAGTGAAAGCTTTGTTGTTGGACACTCATGAGGAATGGGGGTTGCTGGTTAACTGAATGTACTAGATAACAAAGTTTATTGCTCTGCCTCCAGCCCCTACCAGTGGATCTGGTTCCTGGCAGCTCAAGGCAGGCTAAGGGGGAAGGAGGCACCTGCTGATGACATTAGTCGGCAGTGCCAGTTGTCAGAAGCCCTGCAATGGTTATCTGGACAGGTGGGAGTCAGGGGCATGTGCCTGAGGAAATGGTGATATTGTGGCTGAGGGCAATGCCAGTTAACAAAGTTTTCTGATTAACAGAGTACCAGAAAACAAAGCTTTCATTGCATTTTTTTCTCACAGAATGTTTTCCAAACAGAAAAAAGATTTAGCAAAATCAAAATGTTCCACTGGCAGTATCAAAAATTTTGACAAAAAGATATTGAGATATTTACTTTAATAAGGTCATAATATTTCATTTTGACATTATGAAAATGTGAATTCTACTATATCATAGAAGTCAAAATAGTAATGAAATGAAATTAAACCTGTCAGTTATCTTAAAACAAAAATTCAGATTCCCTCTTTCACAGACAAATTTGAATTTTCTTTCGAGATAACTCCCCAGCCTACACATGCTCTCTGAGTCTACTATCAATTTCTGCTCCCAGCAAGAACATCCCAGGACCCTGAACTTTGAGTAGCTACTCAGGTTCAAGATGTCTTGATTTTGACGTTAAAGCAGAGAAACAAGTCCATTCCTTAGAATCTAATTCCCAGTCTGTTCTTCTGGAAGTAGCTCATTGATGTCAGAGAGGCTGCTTATATGAGTACAGATTTCTGGATAAGGTTCTTCTCTAACTCATACAGAAAGTGGACCTGATTCTAGTCACAGTGAATTCCAATAAGAGTTTTGTTATTTATGTTAATACATGCAAAGCCAGGTCTAATAATCATTCTCCCTGAGCCTAATTTTAGTTGAAATACATTTATATTGATTCCAGAAGATTAGGTTCACAGCAGATAATTTGGAAGTTGTTGCAAGATGAATGTTTCAAATATTTTCCAAAAGTGTAACATATTTTTGTAATTCAACAACAACTTAAATCTATAAATTGTAGAGGATAGTTAAAGCATTTTTTAATTTAATTTGGGATTTGATAGCAGCCTTCAACTTCCTGAAGGGAAGTTCCAAAGGGGTTGAAGAGAGGCTGTTCTCAGTAGTGACGGATGGCAGAACAAGGAGCAACGATCGCAAGTTACAGTGAGGGAGATCTAGGTTGGATATTATGAAAAACTATTTCACTAGGAGGGTGGGTGAATCACTGGAATGGGTTACCTAGGGAGGTGGTGGAATCTCCATCCCTAGAGGTTTTTAAGTCCCAGCTTGACAAAGCCCTGGATGGGATGATTTAGTTGGGGTTGGTCCCGCTTTGGGTAGGGGGCTGGATTCGATGACCTCTTGAGGTCTCTTCCAGCCTTAGGAGTTTATGATTTTTGGGACTTGATGATTCTCTATTGACTTTTAGCTTGGGTCATCACTTACTCTTGTGAGAAGTGAATGCTAAGTTTACCGCTGATTATGCCATCATTATTGTGATTAAGTGGAAGATTTTGATTCAGTAATAGTTTCTTATTTATCCCTCAAGCTATTGTGATTTTTCAAGTGAATTCACTTTAGTCAGATGCTTTACATATTCCTTTTAGACCGAGTCAGTGTAATTGATAGGAATATTTTTGTGTGTGTGTGTTGCAACAGAACTTTCTCAAAGGGCTGCATCTTTGAACATTGGATGTGTACAGGAAGATGAATCACTAGCTGAAATCAGGCTTTCCTTGTTGGATCACCAGGGTTGGGAAAAGACAGGCCAAGATGAGGGTACTCAGAATTATGTAGAAGAATGGTGCAATGCCTCAGAAGACATTTCAAGATATAAGATGAAAAATATTATTGGATCTGCAGCCCCAGATGCCAACGGTAAGGAGAAATTTAAATGAAAACAGCAAATAATGAGTTCAAGCCAGTTGCTAGTTATATTTTCTAAAGAAACACTCTGAACCCAGTTTTCTAACAGCACAAAGCAGATGGAAGGCTGGCTCAGTGGTCTCCCTGAGTACAAACTACAGTTTAGAAAAAAGACTTCAAATGAAAATGAATTAGCTGATCAAGGAGACCCTAAATGTAAACATTAAAAAAAGAGAGAGAAATTAAAAACCTTAGACTCAGTATGGAAATCATTTGAGCATAGTACGGAGAGACTCACAGAAGTCTACCACAAAAAAACTACTCAGAGAGTAGTTATTAACGGTTCACAATCTTGCTGGAAAGGTATAACAAGTGGGGCTCCGCAGGGGTCTGTTTTGGGACCGGTTCTGTTCAATATCTTCATCAACAATTTAGATATTGGCAAAGAGAGTATGCTTATTAAGTTTGCAGATGATACCAATCTGGGTGGGGTTGCAACTGTTTTGGAGGATAGGGTCATAATTCAAAATGATCTGGACAAATTGGACAAATGGTCTGAAACAAACAGTATGAAGTTTAATAAGGACAAATGCAAAGTGTTCCGCTCCATATAGGAAGGAACAATCAGTCTCAGACAGATACGTCTACACTACGAGTTTACTCAGCAAAAAATATGCTAATGAGGGACTCGTTTGCATGAGTCGCAATCTTATTTGCATATTTTCTGATGATCTGTTTTTTCCTACGGGCTTTTGCACAAAAACTATCAGTGTGGATGTTTTCTTTTGTGCAAAAACCCATTTTCCTGCCAGATTGGTAAAACCTCCTTTTTGGGGGCATAAAGATCTGGTGGGAAAAAGGGGTTTTTGTGTAAAAAAAAAAAAAAAAAAAAAACGTCCACAGTGCTGGTTTTTGCGCAAAAACTCCTAGGCAAAAACAGAATAGCATAAAATATGCAAATGAGATCATGACTCATGCAAATGAGCCCCTCATTAGCATATTTTTTGCCAAGAAAACTCATAGTGTAGACGTAGCCTCTGTGTGAGACTGATTGTTCCTTCCTATGTGGAGCAGAGCACTTTGCATTTGTCCTTATTAAACTTCATCCTGTTTGTTTCAGACCATTTGTCCAATTTGTCCAGATCATTTTGAATTATGACCCTATCCTCATAGATAGGATAAAAGGATAGATGACAAAAGGCAATATCCCTTTTTGACCAGGTGTTTCTGGTTGAAACCTGGACACCTGGTCACCCTAAATCCCAGCCACCAATGGGGAGAGAAAATTATGACCTAAAATACAGGCCACCCCAGTCTTTGGCCAGTCTTTCTGCACATAAAAAACATCGTCTAGTGAGAAGCCCTGTGTCAGTTACCGTCCGGCTCCTTGACCACAGGTATAGGTCCTACTCTATGAAAGTCTAGAAGACTTGTGAGAGCTGAAGAGTTTGAGACCTCTCAGTTGAGTTTCTTAGTTTTCCTTTTTCTCTATGTTGGTCTCTTTTTTCTTATTAGCTGGGAAACATCCCAGCTTTTTAATATTCTTTAGTTTTAGGGTGTGAAAGTGTGCATGCACATACCTTTGAGCACCAATTGAGTCCACATAGGGAAGACCCAAGGCTTAGAAATCCCTAAATATCATCTCATACAGATGCTATTAAAGTGTGATCTGTATTTATTAGTTATGGGCGACTTGTAATCATTACCTGTAATTTCTAGTAGATAAGAGTTGTGAAACTTTCGCTTACTGAGAATATTGTGCAAAAGTCTATATTATTTCTTTATTGGATGCAGGGTGTGTGGGGGGAGGAGATATTACCCAAGAATAGAATTCTATGTAGGATAGTTTAATAATTAGCACAGAGGCAGTGATTCAGACATTAAATAAAAATTTGGTTCAGTATTAAGATGTTTAATCAGCTCCAAATTAAACATATGATGACCTTTGGTAATACTGTTCATTGGGATTTATAACCAAATGGGCAGCTGTCTTCTTGTGGTATGTCTAGATTACATGGCTCCGTCGACAGAGCCACGTAGATGAGTTTACTAGACATAGCAAAATGAAGCGGCGATTTAAATAATCACCGCTTCATTTACATCAAAATGGCTGCTGCTCTGCTTTTCATGAGGCATACCGGAGCGGTCAACAAGGGCTTCCCTTGTCGACTGCGGCATGTCTAGACTGCCCTGCTGTGCCGATCAGCCAATTGTCGGCACAGTGCGACGGCCATTTTGATGTAAATCGCCGCTTCATTTGCTATGTCTAGTAAACTCATCTATATGGCTCCGTTGGCGGAGCCATCTAGTCTAGACATACCCTTGGAGTCCTTTTTAGAATTTATAAGGATAGGTTATTTAGAGAATTAATTTGAAGATTTAATTCCACTCCAACATTGAGACGTATTGATTTCTTTTTTAATTTGGCCTTGGTTTGATATTGAGTCAATAGTTGAATATCATAGATGCTGAAGCTGTGGGTGTTCTGGTGCTGAAGCACCCACAGAGAAAAATTAGCAGGTGCTTACTGCTTAGCACCCACTGGCAGCCAACTCCCTCAGAGTTCTCACACCAGATTTGAACAGCTGTTTTTTAGTATGCAGGAGGCTCCAGGAGGGAGGAGGAGGAATGAGGACAGGGTGCACTTGAGGGAGGGAGTGGAAAGAAGCAGGGTGGGGATCGAGTGGGAGTGGATAGAGGTAGATTGGGGCAGGAACTTGATGGAATAGATGGAATGGGGCAGGGTCTAAAGTGGATGCGGGGAGCAAGCATCCCTGCCCCCCACAGCTAGAGGGACAGTAGACGCCTATGCTATATTATATTATTTTAGTTTAGCTTACTATTAACAGTGGCTTAGGTCTGATAGTACACTTTCTTGATTTTTTTCTTTTAGTTGGTTTAATAAGTTTTATTACAGTTTATAAAAATGACGGTATCGTGTTTTTTTCAGAAAGACACCTGAGGCCAGAATTTCTTAAGACATGGGTGGATATAGTCAGTGAAACAAAAAGGCTGGCAGCTCCACCTCACTAGCTTTTGGTTCTTACAAAACTGAAGTTAAAAGTTTGAACAGCTTGTTGGATTTGCCTCTCTTTATTGAACCACGAAATACTGATACTGCATGGAATCCTTTCTGAAATTAGTTTAAACAAACCCAAATTGAATATTGCAAAGGCAATACAGTAGATAGGAAAACCCTGGCTCTTTTTTTCTCACATTAGTCTAAATTGCGAAGCACTTACCAAATTGATTGAACTACTCTCTCCAATACACATATGGGTTTCACAATTGGGCCCTTATTTTTCCCCCATTATTTTTCAGTTTAATTTTGTTGCAATTTTGTTTCCTTTGGTTTGTAAGATTCCTCTTACATTGGAATAGCAGTTGATCATATATATTAATGTATCATATTAATGGCTTGTGCATTATATAGGGTGGTTTTTTTCATTTTGTTTGCAATCAGACAGTCCCAGCAAATATGTTTTATATGTACTAAAGATTATGACAATTAAAGGAATGAACCTCTTGCACTTGGAATCAGAAGTTATTTTCTTCCCAGTTTCTTATACTAGCCACTTTAGTTCCAAGCAGCATTGCATTAATGTTAAACATTGGTCCTCAGCACCAAATAGCAATTTATCATCTTTCTTGGCAGGCTTCCTGCTTCATCCTGCACCTGCCTTCTTGAAAGAAAACAAGACATCAGATACTTATTCAAATAATGGAATAGCTGATCAGTCGAGTATCTACACAATAGTAAGTTATCCATGATAAAAGAACAACTTTTTTATGCATTATATGACACACACATCCTTTCTCTTAAGATTTATGACATCTATGACCATTAGTAATGTTAATATAATCAGATCTTTTACACACTAGTTGCAAAGCTTAAACTTATCAATGGACTTCTATATGAGCGTCAATCAAGCAATTTCATAAATGCTTTAAAACACCTGCACCCTCTATATAAATGTAGGAATATCAATATCAAATTCTCATCTCTCAAACCATTATGCAACTGTATCTCACTCATAGGCACTGGGGACCCTAACTTAACAAAGTGGAAGCACATTAAAAACAAAATCAAATATTCATTTGAGCTTGATTCAGTATGATATATTCATGTATGCATTATGTGGTTACTGGGAGAAGTGTTATATAGCCAACACACAAATGAAAAAAAAAAGGAAAAATGAATGAAATCATAAGTCTGTATATGAAGAAAATATTGGGAGGTACTCATTAATAGAGCATATGGAATTCTTATTCACATACATCAAATGAGTCGTTATATAGGACTACAAAAATTGTCAAAAAGTACATGTATACTGTTAGTCCTGATTGGAGCAGAGTGTGATGCTAATATGGAGCTGGATAGGCTATGCTTCTAGAGAGAGATGGTCTATCCTAGAATAAGGGAGACCTGGGGTTCCAGTTCTGTCTCAGTCATGGGTGCTTTGTCACTGTATGGTAGCTCTGCTGGTATTTTAAATGTAGCCCATTTCTATTACTAATATATTTTGGGCAGCAACTGAAGGCACTTCACCCCACCTCAGACTGAAAATTTGGCTTTCCTAATGCACTCAGGAGACTCATGGTTTTGGCAGATACCATCCTTCATGGTGGTAATGCATCAGGAAACACAGCCAAATCTAAAATGTACTAACATGGACCATTAATGTTGCTACATTGAAAGGTCTCCCTTTTGAACATCAGGGCCACCTTTTTGCATATACCTGGAGACAAGATCAATACTCTGGCAATCAGTCTTCTGGGGTTCTATTTAGCGGGTCTAGTAAAGACCCGCTAAATTGAATGTTGAGGGCACCCCTCTCAACCATGGTATTCCTCACTATTGTGAGAAGTAAGGGAAGTCGACAGAAGCGTTTCTCCCTTTGGCCTCCTCAGAAAAGTGTTTCTTCTGTGGGGCTGCCTCAGAAAATCAATGTCGACTCCAGCTATGCAATTCACGTAGCTGGAGTTGAGTATCTTGCATTGATTTTCTCCGCCAGTGTAAACCTGGCCTTTGGCTACTTAATTCTGCAGTGTTTTACTGATGTACAATGGGGGTAATGAACTGGTGAATTTGGATTACAATTGGATCCAGAAATTCAACAGCAATAAATAAATAAATAATGGTTGTAGGTGTTTGTTATGTTGCATATGTGGCTATTTTCCTTTGATCTGTTAGATTTCTTTACACTCCACTATTTCATGTTCAGATACCCTAATTTTCCTAATGAGCACTCAAGTGCAAAACAACTTAATAAAAACCAGCCCTAAATGCTTGTGACTTAGAAGCTTCACTCAGTAGCAACAAAAGCAGAACAAATATATAGAGCTTTGTGTATCTGGTTGCTTGGGCAAGTCGCCTTGGTTAGCAAATGCAAAGATATTAAATTTCCATTCAGATGATTAAAAAGAGCTTCTTCATGTTTTACCGCATGACCTGTTCTGTTTACGGTGCATTAGGTGTTTACTATAGTGATAGAAAATGGCACCTTCCCCATCTCTGTTTCTTTTTTTCTCTCTCTCTTTTATAGCAGCTGTTTCTTAAGAAGGACTTGCTGATCACCTGTGTCTTTCTTTGCACCTGACTAAGAAGCTTTTTGAAAATACAATATGCATGTTTATTTTATTTTTTTAAAGTGTAGCCCTTAAAGTTAACAGCTGGTGTCGGGTTACTCAAATTGCACCTTATTTTTCTTATATTAGATTGAAACAGTATGCTATGTCAGCAGTGCCCATAACAAAAAGCTTTCATGCTTCTCTTTTGTGCCTCATTTATGATGTACAAATCTAACAAGCACTCTTAAAGGACCTCTGGAAATTAGCTATATTAAACATTAAAAACATTAAAGGATTCATTTTCAGGGGGTTGAAAGTTGACTTAATTGCATTTAATTCATGCAGTAAACCTTTATTAGCACAGCTAAAAGTGGGAGTGAAATAGGAAACTGTTCTCCAGGGGAGAAATATGTTTAACAGCATGAAGGGCTGGTTAGAGCATTGCTTTCTACTGGCTGGAATCAAAACTGTCCACTTTGCTTCACAGATTCAGTTTGGCTAACAGTGATTGTCCTTAAGCTTGAGTTGTAGATACCTGCTGTCAGTGTGAATATCTGAACTGTATTTGTATGCCTCATAGTAACACAGTTATAAGGTCCTTAAGTAGCAATAGGTTTGGTTTTTTCCCAATTATGCATTCCTTGTGTATTCATATCTTTCAGTGAAGTCAAACAGAAGCTTAAGATGTGCAAGGCATAAAGGAGGAGGCTATTTATGCAATGCATCAGATATGATAGAACATAGTATTTCTCTGAAAATGAAGTCAACACTTTATGTCTAGACTACAGAGTTTAGTCGGAAAAACAGCTCTTTTTCTGACAAAACTTGAGTTACATCCACACTACAAGTGCGTTCTTTCAACAGTAAATCGAAAGAACAGAGGGCTTTTTGTGCAATTGATAATCCTCATTCTACAAGAAAGAAGCCTTTTTGCGAAAGAGCTCTTTCACAAAAAGGTCTGTGTGGATGGGGAAGAGGGAGTTTTTTTAGAAGAAGAGGGAAGAGGAAAAAACACAAGTGCCCTGGTGGGCATTCTGTCCATAGCAATCACAGCCTTTATGCGAGATAGCATCCAGGCAGAATGGATGCTCTCTTTTGAAAAAGCACATCACTTTTTTGATGCGCTTTTGTGAGTGGACGCTCTCTTTCAGAAGTTTTTTCAGAAGATCTCTTCCGAAAAAAGCTTCTTCCAAAAGAAGCCTGCTAAAAGTCTGAAATTTGCTTTGTCAGTTTTTTATGCTCAGACTGAAAAAATCAATAATGGTGTATGTATACACAAATATTTATTTGTTTTTATTTACTCGGCACCTTATTAATTGCTATTATTTATATGACAGTCGTGTCCAGATGTGCTTACTGAGATCAGGGTCTTGTTATGCCATGCACTGTGCAAAAAAAACAAAAACAAAAACAAAAAAAAGTGAGAGACAGTCTCTGCTGCAAAGAACTTACAATCTAAATGGCCAAGACAGATGAAGAGTGGGATCATGGAAGTACTATGATTAGATGGGAAAGGACAGCTTACATGACTTACCCAAGGGGATTTAGGTAGTCTCTGGCAGAGTCTGAGACTTGAATAAACTCTCAGGAGTCCTCATTCTGTGCCTTAACCACAGGGCACTTCATTCATTGGTACACTTTGCAGTCTAGAATTTTGTTTCATTCTGCAATTGAAGACCATAAAGTTGAGTCTAAAATTTTCACTATGCAATTTGACCAATAGCTCTAAACAACAAACTTCGAAGGATTGAAATTCCTACATTAAAAGATTAGAACTGTGGCTGTGTTGCTGAAAGACATCACATCAGTTTGCACTATCTCTCAGAGTGCTACTGCAGAAATTTTGCGTTTCATTCAGTTGCACTGATGAATGGTCTCAGAGTTCTGGATAAATATTATCCAACCACCTGCAAAATGCCCTTCTAAAGTTCACTCAAAAGAGCTTATAGGGTTTTTTCCAAAAAGTGGCCTTTTTTCAAAAAAACTTCCCCTGCGTCTAGACTGCTGACGCATTCTTTTGAAAGTAAATCGAAAGAACGCAGCAGCTTTTTCAACTGTGGAAAACCTCGTTTTATGAGGAAGAACACCTTTTTCGAAAAAAAGCACTATGTAATGCAAACTGTGATTTTTCAAAAGAGAGCATCCAGACTGCCTGGGTGCTCTCTTTTGAAAAAGCGGCTTGCTTTTTCAAAAGTACTGGTTGTAGTCAGCTATGTCTAGACTGCAAGGCTCTTTCTAAAGAGGCTTTTTCGAAAGATACTTTTGAAAAAGCCTCTTTCAAAAAAGAGCATCTAGACTACAACCAGTACGTTCGAAAAAGCAAGCCGCTTTTTCAAAAGAAAGCACCCAGGCAGTCTGGATGCTCTCTTTCGAAAAAGCACAGTTTGCATTACATAGCGCCTTTTTTCGAAAGAGCACTTTCAAAAAAAGGCATTATTCTCCATAAAATGAGGTTTTCTGCAGTCAAAAAAACTGCTGTGTTCTTTCAATTTACTTTTGAAAGAATGCAGCACCAGTCTAAATGGAGGGGAAGTTTTTTTAAAAAAAGGCCATTTTTTTCAAAAAAGCCTTGTAGTCTAAACATACCCGTCTGGACTCTTTTTTTTTTTTCGAAAGAGGCTTGCAGTCTAGACATAGCCTCAGTGTCTAGCAGAGACAGAATCATAGAACACTAGAACTGGAAGGGACCTCGAAAAGTCATCCAGTCCAGTCCCCTGCCCTGATGGCAGGACCAAGCACCAAGATCATCCCAAATAGATGCTTGTCCAACTTGCTCTTAATTATCTCCAGTGATGGAGTTTCCACAACCTCCCTAGGCAATTTATTCAAGTATTTAATCATTCTGGCAGTTAGGAATTTTTTTTCTAATGTTCATTCTAAACCTCTCTAGCTGCAATTTGAACCCATTGCAACTTGTCCTATTATCAAAGGTCAAGGAGAACAATTTTTCTTCCTCCTCCTTGTAACACCCTTTTAGATCCTTTAAAGCTGCTATCATGTCCCCTCTCAGTCTTCTCTTTTCCAAACTAAACAAGCCCGTTTCTTTCAGTCTTCCCTTACAGGTCATGTTTTCTAGACCTTTAGTCATTTTTGTTGCTCTTCTCTGGACTTTCTCCAAATTCAGTCTGGAGTGGCTGCAGATCAATCTAAACTAAACCCAGGTGTTATTGATAGGAAAGGGAATA